CAAATAAATTTCTGGCTAAGTGTCTTTTTGGTAGTACAAAACGTCAGGTTAATTTCAATATTGTAACTTTTTTAGTGCTTGTGAAAAAAATTGTTATACAAATTGTATGTACCCCCTTTAAGGGGCTGTATCTTAACAAGGGATGCTCCAATAAAATTTCCTTATATGAACGATCCTATCTTTTGTTCGATGAGGAATCACCTCCTTAAATGTTTTACACTTATTTAGTTACACCCTGTTTTTGAATCGTTGTATATTGCCTTCCAAAACGAAAGATGTTTGCAAGTCGATTTCATCTACAGTGTAAATGAATTTGTCTCACTTCTTATGGAAACACCCCCGTATCTTCAGTAATATTCGATGTAGAACGATGAAACTCTCAGGAATGATGGAAATGCTCAAAATGCACCTACCACCTGAATGGGGTTGGCCAAAGTGATATACACTGTCCGCCACTCGCGATGGAACACCCCATTTTTACGGTAAAACATATTAGGTGGCAAAATAGGCTCAAAATTCCTTCAGATTCGTGATCAGAACTACCAACTTACTACGAATACACTTTTTTCCTGAAAATTGATTGTTTTGTTTTTTAATTTTGAAAGTAGTACTTCGAAAGAATTTTGAACTACATAACAATTTTCGCCACAAAATATCCTTGTTTGTTTTTAAATAATGGGAAAATGAGAATATGAACTAACATTAACCATCCTAAAACCTGACTGATTACATGTTTCCGTTCCTCTTACAAAATTACCATTTTATCTCTTATTGAGAAGGAATAACTTTCCTGACAACAAAATAAAAAATGAATTATTTATATTTATAAACTCGACAAAAGTCGAGTTTCTCTTAAACAATTTCTTTCATGTTTTGATGTCAAAACCAAAAAAAAATCTACTTCAATTATTACGGAAGATACGGGGGTGTTTCCATGAGAATTGGAACAAATTCGGATTTTTCAGGACTGAAGAGAGTTTCATCGTTCAAACTCATATATTACGGAAGATACGGGGGTGTTTCCATGAGAAGTGAAACACACTGTATATATATATGTGAGTAAGTAGTATTAAGAAGTAGTTCCAATTACCATGTTATTTGAAGCTCTACTTTCCCACTCGCCTATATAAACGAAATATTCATTATATATATTTTTATATTATATAGTTATTGTGATTCTTATATAATCAGAAATGATAATTGAATAAGGAAATTAGTTGGCTCCTTAACTATATTAGCTGTTGGAAGATAGGTTGTACTTGAACTTTACTTATAGGAAAATCGTAACGGAAACTTCAAAGAAAATGTGGCTCGAAATATCTAGAAAGGAAATCTCTGAATAACTAACCACAGTCTAACCATTACCAGCCAGAATTCTTCATTTTCAACCAGTTCATCGCCGTTGAAGATGAAAGCGTTCAATTCCTGTAATGGCTTTCATAAAATACTGAAGGGCTCGTGGAATTGGTGTTGCTCACTTAATGTAGGATAGTTTCGAAGATGCTATTCATGTAATTGAATTGGTCGATACCTGATGAAAATTCATAACTTATTCAAGTAAAACTTCATTGTGAGATTTCCACTAAACAGTTTCACAAAAACGCCGCAACACGTTTAATTTTCGGACGATAATTTCTGAAACGTGAGGAAAAATTCTCTTGAAAATTGCAAAGGCAAAATGTTATTAGTAAAGTTGAGTATCCTACCAATTGGGTAAATAGTATGATGATCGTAGAAAAACCAGATGGATCCGTCAGGCTTTGTATTGATCCAAAACTACTCAACAAATATATTCAAAGAGAACATTTCATTATCCCACTTCTGACACCATGTTATAAGCCTTTCGAAACATCAATAAACGGGGAAAAACTTTATTATATTTTAGTATCTTCTAATAGTTTTTGTACCTTCTAGTAGAGTCAAGTACGACTACAAGAGCACGAACTGGTCTGAGTTAAGGACGTACATTAACAATCTCACCACTATCAAGAGGAACATTGGTTAAGATGATATTGATGAGATTTGTGGGCAATTCGTCCAGAACATCCGAAGAGCTAGAGACGTCTCTACAAGGAAAATTGTGCTGAAAGGCGATAGAGACATCCTTCCGCTTAATGTTGTTGAACTCATTAGGCAAAAACATAGGATGCGCAAGGATTGTCAAATAACACGTGACCCTCGTAGCAAGGATCGAATGTTGAAACTTGCTGTGGAGATTAACGAGCGCACGAGAGAGTTCACCAACATGAAGTGGAGAATGGACAGAAGACTGGGTAACCGGTTTGAGACTATTCCGACCATACGAAGTGACGGGTCACCAAAAGGCTCAACTATTCGGAGAATACTTTGCCAATGTCCACTTAGTTAAGCCCGCGACGTGTGTTATGAACACAGAGCATCCACAAATACTACAAATAACATCATGAGCAGACCGGCTCCGACAATACCGGAGTCGACATTTGCTGAAGTGGATCACAGACCTCGACGAGGTGATTGCAACATTAAACGTCTAGGGAAAAAGAAAACCCCAGACTTTGATGGGATTGAAACAGTTTTACTCCGCAATCTACCGCGAAAGGGTGTTGTACAACTAGTACATATAGTCAATGCTACGAGTATAATCAAGCACCAACACTGAACCGTAGGTAGTTCCCATCCATAAATCTGGAAAACGGAAAAATCTCATCGATAGTTATCGCCCAATCTCGCTGCTCAGTGCGGTGGTGAAGGTCATTGATAAGATTCTCTTCAATAGACTTTTTCGCCTGGAAGATAGGGTGAAACCCATTCCCGAGAAGCAATTTTGGTTCCGGCGAGGTCGGAATACAACTTCCCAATTGATCCGGGTTGTTCACGGGGTGAAGGAATCCTCCAACCAGGGGAGGAATACAATTATGGTCCTGTTAGACATCCAAAAAGTTTTCTATAGAGTTTGGATAGAGGGATTTGTCGCCAAGATGTGGTCGGCAGGCATGCCCTTATTTGTGATTAGGATTCATCAATCCTACCTGAGCAACCGAACTTTTCGTGTGAGAGTGGACCAAACCACATCTACTAATTATCCAATAAAATCAGGTGTCGCGCAGGGGTCCTGCCTGTCACCGCATTTGTACTCTCTGTACATGCAAGACTTTCCGATGTTTCCGAAAACGAATGTGGGTATATATGCAGATGACACTGCGATATACGCACATTCGTTCTCGAGCGAGGTGGTGAAGCAACAGCTTCAGATCCACCTCGATAGGTTGGTCGTGCCGTACTTCGAGCGTAATAAAATCGAGATTAACCCTAACAAAACAGAACTCGTCAACTTCACAAAGAAATTTACTAACGTGAAGATCTTCGGGAAGTTGCGAGTACAGAGCAATTGCGTTGACGAGCAGAGGAGCGCACGATATCTGGGATAGGCGCCTGAATTTTCAGAAACATTTGAGGTTGGCGATCCAACGAGCGGGTGCTGCGGTTAAACGCACGTACCCGCTCATTGCACGGAGCTCGAAGCTTACTGTAGACCACAAACTGCTGATTTACAAAGAAGTAATCAGACCAGCTATGTTGTACGCTTGTATTCTGCAGACTAAAAACGACTCTGCGGAGACTCGAGACGATGCAGACTAAGGTGCCCCGTATTTGCACAGTGACAGATACATTTCATTGAATGATCTGTTAGATCTGGCAGGAGTCAAGACGATCAATGAACACATCAGGAGGCTGTCATATAAAATCTTCAAGTTCTTTCTGCCGAAAAGCCCGGTGACAAGGGACATCATGGCGCTTAAGAGTTGGGCTGATTTGTAAAATGCTAGATATCTTCCATGAATAGCGCGAATGTGATCGCGCTTAGTTCATGGAATAGCTGGTTAAGATAATTCACGTATTCTCGTGATATCAGAATTACTCTTAACTGGTTTTTTTATGAACGTTCTCCAGGGGACAAGTGATAATCCTGTAACACCCACTAAGTACACTTAGTTATGAGGTTTATCTTGCGTAAGACCCGGCAGGAAGCGAGAAGTCTTAGACTTTCCCACTCCCGTTTGTGGGAGAGATGTACATAATGTATATACAGGCTGATTCACGAGGAGATTCCAAAAATAATATTATATACAGAGTGTTCCATTTGAAAAATCAAAGTTGCTACTGCTTTCTAATAGAAGCAGCAACACCGCATTGTCGAAAATATTTTAGTTGGCTAGAGAATGTCCGAATATGCCCTCCATTAAATTTTCAAAGTGATCCGTTGTCTGGTTCACCAGAAACGTCTAATGTGCCATCCACCGTGAATCAGCCTGTATACTCTGTTCCTTGGACCTTAGATTTACTATAGAAAAATAGGCAATAAAGAATTTTTTGATTTTTGATTGTACCTTCTAATTGTACCTCTAATGTTGTTATCCGCCGTCATGACAACCACCCTAGCTTACTATTTTTGATACAGAGTTATGGACATACATATAACAAGATTAACAAGTACAAAACTGTGAAACAACTCATAGAAGTTTATAGATTTTGAAAAGAGTTATTGGTGATAATCGTCCTAATTTTTGCTGATAATGCCACTCATGAGTTACTACGATTCAATTTTCAAGCCATTTTCCTCCGTACTTGGAATAAAGGTCCTAAGTTGTGTGTTGGCTAGTATATTTGGCTAATGATTCATGAACTTCAAGATCTATTGAAGTTTTGGGCATTTTCAACTTTTCGAACAAAAATTAAAATTTTCCAACATGTAACCAAATTTCCTGAACTAAATCGAAATTGAAAAAAAAACTGTCGTGAAGGATTTTATTTACCTTCTCAATGGTAATGAGTTTTGTCGATATTTCAGCTTCCAATCTGTCTCCCGTCGCCGAAAATTGTCAAAGTCTATTTCACAATTGAATCAAAAACAGTTCTATGAAATTGTTCGATATTTTCAGTTTTTAGTTTCAACCTTTTTCTCAATCGGGTTTTAAGTGAAATCTGGATTAATTTCACTGTACTATTCCGAAACCTTCGAACCATAGTAACACCCGAGGGGCGATTGTAACCTAAATCCAATCAAGAATCTTGCCTTACAACGCAACTTCATCCACCCGAGTCCGTCTGAAATGAAAAAAATGTCCCCGCAATCTTAACGTCCGTATGATTGGATGGTAATAGAGATTGCCACCTATATCTGCGGTTCACGTCTGTCACTTTATCGAGAAGGAGACCCTCGAACGGCTTAAAGATCAATCAATAATTCACGACCCACACGAGCTACGTGAAATCTCTACGGAATCGTAGTCGTTCTTATGAGAAAACGCTGAACGAATGGGTCGGAGATGCCCTAACTGAATGTTTGCAGAACCGGCTCAAGGATATTTAGGAGCGTAGTCACAAAGAGAAATACGCAAATTAAGGTTTTTTTCATGAAATTTTCTGAAGCAGTTATTCAACATTATTCAGCTCTTTTTGCAAAAATCGATTTTTGGTGGTTGGTTTAGGGTAGTCTTCAAAGTCTATATTCAATTTATTGAACTTCATTGACTTTCTGCCATGAATATTCATCTAACATTTCACATAGAATTATTTTTTTTGAAGCTTGATTTTATAAACACGCCTGCACTCTTAAGCGATTGTAAGCTAACAAAGTTTTTCGCAAACAATATCGTAGAAAATTGGGTAATCCTCTAAATCCCCTACAGATATGTCGACGACGTTTTAGTTTGTTGCACCGGTAAACATTGACAATTATAATCGTTCCTCCAACACATCAATTTCATTCACCAAAACATAAAATTTACAATAGAATTCGAAACCAATAGTTTGATAAACTTTTTGGACCTGACAATCACAAAAATTGCCAGCAACATAGTTTCGCAAATTACCACAAAGCAAATAGTTTATTAAAAATCCAAATTTGATGAAATACATGCTGTAGCACTGCTAAAAAGTTACCTTTGCGATCGTTTTCAAAGAGTTGTGAATAATAACGAAAAATCTGATTCAATACAAAAAGGTTTTCCTCAAGGTTCAATATTGGACCCTCTCTTGTTCGTTCTATACACATCTCAATTTGCAACCATGCAACTATGCCGACGATACTCAGCTGTACACGGAATTCGACGAGAATTCAATTAACAAGGTCCTATGGCAAACTAATACTGATGTCGATATGTTATTATCCTTGTCAACTATAATTGCCTATCTGTTAATGCATCTAAATCTAACGTAATGCTCTTTGGTAGAACAGCGCCGAGAAATCGTTGATCTGGCCTCATAATAGATGGAACAGAACTTCCCTCGAAAGAAGTTACAAAAAACTTGGGCCTATATCTTGACAACAGTCTTCGTTTCAAAACACATATTTCCCAAATTCTGCAACGGTGCTACGTCGTACTACTTTCTATTGTCTAATAGACAGAGTCAGAGATAATATAGAAAACATATGATGCAATATGAGATTCGTAAAAATGAAAATGATTTTTTTCCGAATTAATAATGCCAGAAGTTCTTGGAAAATTATCCAAAAATTCTTTCTCTGCAGTTAGTTAGTGGAGATGTAGAAAATGATGATACTGAATGCTGCATGGTACCTATAATGAGCAATATCGAAAGATCTCAAAATCCAGGCAAGCTAGAAGTGAATTTTATGTGTATTCTGAAGGGGATGTTGGTAAAAACCTTATGAGTGTACTTAATACTAACTGTAAAGTTTGTGATGTTTCCAGATTTCCTGGCAATGAATAAATTTGTAGAGATTGTGATATTAATCATTAGTTGCTTTCAAAAAAGTCCCATATTCTGTTTTATCAAATGCATTGAAGACTCACAGTCGAATATAAACCAATTGCACGTCACGGTATTATATGGTAGTTCACCAAGTTAAATCATGGTGCGTGTACTGTAAAAATGGTACTTTTGGCAACACTGCTTTAGTCTGGTTCATGTGACAAATGATGTGTCATCTGTCAACATCTTTTTTAAATTCGCCTTCACCTTTTCTCTCACCGACTTTCCATTTTCCACTTCCCTACTTGGGTTTCAACTACGCAAGCACCATCTATGAATTAACCCCATCGCCATCCAATTATTTGGCCATAAGGTTGACAGACTATTTAGACAATGGTATAGATATTACCTGAATATTAAGTATAGACATCTTACGCAGAGACATCTATTACTTCCTTCGAAGGAATGTCTCTGATAGACATCATGTCAACGTATATCACAAATGATATTTTGGAGATGCCGATGGCAAAGTTTTGTTAGATGAGTAGCCTATACTAATCTCTCAGAAAACTCAGAATAATTGAACGCGTGTTGATACACTATTAAAAAAAAACGTAACTTGTAAATAGTTGACATTCGTTCACTTTTCCAGACCCGAACATCCCGGAAACGGGCGAGCAGAAGCTGAGGTCATCTCGTGGTAGCGCCGATTGCTGCTATAAGTATTGCGGATCACCAGGCAGGGGAACGGCAGCGCAAGAATACATCGAAGAAGGGAGCAGGCGATACCTAGACATTCTCAACGTGTGCGAACACTGCCCAGGGCGGCCCCCCAACTCGACGACAGCGCCCTCTAGTGGAGGTGCGTCATCACGGACTTTTAACAAAGTGTTTATCCTATGGACCGCGTTGATAACTTTGATACAGACAGACAGACTGATTTCCTTGTTGGTTATGTGCGAATACAGTGTTCGGACGATGTACTGGTTTTTAAACGAACGAAGACATTCGTGCTTATAGAATTTGTAGGAGATTTAGGTGATATGTGTTCCGATACCTGTTGGCCCAAAAAGGTCTGTCTGTGGTGACGCATGTTGCTCAATTTTTTCAGAACGATACTGAATAGTCTGGTGATCGGAAATGGTCGATGAATTTATTGAATCTGATGGATATTGTTCGTCATATCTAACTGATTTTTTCGTTACGTAAACGACAAATGGTTCTGGTGTTTCTGAATATTTGTTTTTTTATATTTGTTCTTTGAAAAAACTCTAAATTAGCGACTTATATTGAATGAATACCTATCACCCACCACACAGAGAAAAAAAAACTAAAACTATTGGGTTAATCAAAATTTCAACCGAAAAAAATAATAATACAGTGCTGCAGAATGCCGCATTCACTCGGATTGATCATGTAATGATTGCTGAATGAATAAGTTAGAAAAACTTTAACAGTAACAATGGTGTCAATTTAGTAACAGAATGTTACTTTTTGACGTTTAAAATTGCCAAGTTACGTTTCTATCCAATTCGTTACATACTGAGAAACTTTCAATGACAGTTTATGCCCGAGAACTGATCAATGTCAAATGTTATTTTTGTCGACCTAATCTGTTACACATTTTTGTCGTGCTCGAAAAACACTATTATTATCGAAAAAACTTTTAATTTTGCTGCAATCGAAGAAATGATTCAGTATTTTGGTCATATGGCACTGTATAACGTCAATTCGCAATCCTTTTTCAGTTACTACAAAACAATTCGCAACAATGTCAACTAACAATGAGTTTATTGTCATAGAATGTATCTTAACTCAAAGTTATTGTGTCAAAACCAAAGATTGAACTGTCAACTGTCACTTGAAATGTAATCAACTAGTGTTGCCAACTTCTCGACGTAAACTACTTCGTTTTGCGTGCGTCTGTCAAATGTTATTTTTGCCGACCTAATCTGTTACACATTTCTGTCGTGCTCGAAATACACTGACAATATCGAGAAAACTTTTAATTTTGCTGCGATCAATGAAATGATTTAATATTTTGGTCTTATAGCACTGTAAAATGGTAATTCACAATCCTTTTTCCGTAACTACAAAACAATTCGCAACAATGCCAACTAACAATGAGTTCATTCTCATAGAATGTAACAATTTCACATGCAATATACATACGACCAAAAACTATTCATTTTGTTAAACGCAGCAGAAGTTTAAAAACTATAATTACTTGACCATATTCTCGTAATAATAATTGTACGTGTTTCAGGCGTTTCATAATTGGCAACACTGTTATTTGACACATAGTATTGTGAAAAGGAGGCGTAAATACTATATCCATACTATACTATGTAGATATATAGATTTTATATGACTTAAATCATTTCATTGACCATGAGTATTTTAACTGAAAATAATATAAACACATTGGTAATTGGCATTGTTCTGCATTGTAGTAACAACTCAAAGAAAAGTGAATTAACATTTTACAGATTTCCCTCAGCATAAGATGTCAGACCCTATATAGATGTCAAATACCCAAAATACAAAATCATTTTGTCAAACGTGGTGTTGCCAAATCATGAAACGCAAAACACTGACCGAAACTTATACAACCAATGTTATTGGATATGGTCAATTGGATCAAAATTCAACTTCAAAATCACGTCTTTACAAGCCTCACCTTTCCGTAGATCCAAAATTTCTGATCAATTTTCCGGTCACCAGGCCATTCAAAACTACAGTATAGCTCACATGAAGTTTTTATCATAAAAAAATGTGTTCAAATTCCTTGAAAGGTAAACACTTCTACCTAATTCTCACTAATATATATCTATAAAAATAAATCAGTATTTTTTCATGTCGAAAAATATATCGACAGGATAATGAAAATGTTGGCTATGAAAATACTTTTCGCCCAAGTGACCTGTCGGTATATTCGAGAATATATCACTTGATTATTGTTGGAGGATGAATACGCACAACACATTTTAATTGTTTTGAAACATTTTACTGTGTGTAACTTTTTTGTATTTTTGTAAAGTCGTTTTTTCTATCACGAGTTGTTGATAAATATGTAATAACTATGTATTGAATGTGAATGTACAGAGTATTCAAGATCATATATTGCGAAATCCGTTACCATTTCAGTTGCTAAACAAAATACTGGTTTAGTTTCGATGAGTGCTACACAGACAGATCGGATTGGCTGTTTGGTATTTTTTTAGAGAAATTATTAATATACAGGCACATAGAATTTGTCTAGGACTGCATTCGATGTGGAGTCAGAGAAATACCGACAAATTTGTCAATTATTCGGTATTTTTATATGGTTAATAAACACAGAAAATCATTCGTGTACCATTTTGTTTTGAATTCAGAAAGAGTTTGGTATTGGCTGACTCTCATTTTTTATGGCTGTTGCAAGGTTACGTTACCAGTTAATGTAATAGAAGAGATGTTAGTATTTTAATTATTTTCAAAAAAATTTCAAGCAAATTAAAAGTTGGTTTTTTCAAAATAACTCACAATAACTACTCCTGAAACAGGAGTGATGTAAGTTCATTTATTTTTAGTTCTCAGTGATGATGTAGTAACACAGAGTTGAAGATTCACAGGCTAGCCTTGATACCAGAATTTTAATGAACATCGTATAATTTATTTTCAAACTACATACAGAAATCAGTTTCAAGTGGATATCTGACCTGAATGAATCTTTATTTGTATTACTTCATAATGTGGCCTCTCCGTCCATATAAAATCGGTTTTTCTCTAGACGTGACAGAAAACTTGGAGGCAAATTACTATTTTTCTCTAGTTTCCATCTAGAAAAAACACAGATTATTTTTCAGACTCAATGTTTTTATTGATACTACTTGCAGAAATGTTATAAATTTTGAAAACAAATGAACCTTGAAACAGCCACAGCAGTCGTTTATTAGTTCTTTGTAACTTCAGCCTTTTACTGTATAAATAAGTGCGTTGAATTTGGCATGGGGATTCAGTTATAATGAAGTGGAAGGGTAGATATTTAAAAAATTGTTTAATGTGAGATTCTGTAATTCATTTGGAATGTAGCGAAAATTACTGAACTGATCTTGTAGCAAATTACGACTAACTAGAACACCATCCTTCAGTTTTGTGCAAAAATGTTCGACTGCCAAAATCACGTGAGTGCTTAGTGATACAAATAGTGTTATTTGAAGAACTAACAACGTCAACGATATATAACGTCACAAATACTTCATATCAACTGATAACTTTACCTGCGTCACAATTTTTTCCAAATTACAAAATGGAATTCAGAAAAACAGTTTTGAGATTGGACATGATTCATGCTTGAGAATAGTGATGATTCGCCAAACTACATTGCAAAATTTAAAAAAAGTGTAATTTAATAATTTATGAAATAGCTTTTCGGCTTCCTACTTCTTCATCACAATTATTTCTTTGAGAGTTCCTCACAGTTTTGGTATAATGCAAAAAATAATCCCTCAAAAAATATTTCCTTTTCAATTTCAACTTTTCAAATATTCCCAGTCACTTGAACGTAGAAAAATGTTCAACAAACTTTACTCAGACTCCACACTTTACGAACTTTTACGCCATGAAGTTTTTCTAAATAACTATCATTATCAGAATTAGGATTATTTCTTTAATTTAATTTGCTACACTGAATCACATTTTTGTGAGAAAAACTATGAAAGATTTTGAATAACCATTATTAACAAAACACCATTAACAAAAACTTAGTATTCTCACGTCTGAACAGCTAGGTACAGTTCAGAACGACATTTAGGAATAACTACAGAGAAAGCACGAGATGGAAAAATGAAAAATCTTTCAAAAATTCATCAATAGTATTTTTTCCTAGGAAAAAATACATACCTGAGGTATGAAACAATAAAGATTATTTTCACATTTTTTTTATCAAATTGAGTAGATGATGCGATAACAATGCATCATTTCAATGAGGAATATTTCTGTAAAATAAGGTCGAATATGTAAAAGAATCAAAATCTGAAATATCACCACATTATTACATTTGTACCTGAATAAGTATTTTATAGTTTCTTGCTGTTACTATGAGAAATGTTTCATTCGCAGAATTTTCTCTCGATGAACCTTTTCGGGCTGTTGGTTTTTCCCAGAAATGTCTTGTAGTTCGGTTTGATAAAGTGTTTGAATTCATATTAATGTTCAATAAAGTGTTTTGAATTCATATTAATGTTCAATTTGTGTTCATAATATTATGTAACTTCAAATTCTCACGGAAAATGTGTGGTTCTCGTCGCCTTTCATAAGTTGGTCTATTCCTCTTGATATTTTTGTTTCAAGAAATGATACTGGGGTATTTTCTTCCATTTTCTTCTATTATTGAACGTTTATTTCTAGTTATAATTATGAAATATGTCTAATTCCAGTAGTACGTTAATAATTCGCATCTTTAACTTTATGTGCAGTAGATTTTTAATTGTTAGTCAAGACTGTACTTTTTTGCGATTTTCCTTAATTGTTAAATATGGCGGAACAAATTTTTTGGAGGTTGACTAGTGTATACTTTGACTTTTTGGTTGCCAACACCACCTAAAATCATTCCCAAAGTTGAAGTAATCTCGAAGCCCCAATGAGAGTAACAAATGAGATCAATTGCCCATAACGAATGGCAATTGAATGTACTTACATATGTTTTTACTTTTATTGTAAGGAATTGTAAGTTTAAAGTCAAATATTCAGTTTTTTCTATTTGTATAATGAAATTTTCATAACGCACTCTTCCACACAATGTTTGTAGAATTATGAACAACTAACTAAAAATTCGTGTTACGAGGTATAAGCGAAATTATCACTCAACAAAACGTGAAACTTCAAGAAAGAAAACAGCAATCTTCAGTGAAGCAGTTTGTGGATGAAACCTCAGAAAAGTAAAGTGAAAGATACGGTTAAAATTAATATTTCCGAAACAACATACCAACCAGAGGCTAGCTTGTTCTCAAGGGATTCGAATATTTCGGAATTCAATTGATATATTCATATTTTATCGAATGTGAAATCATCACAATTTTCAGTCAAACCATACTTCATGGAATGGTCAAAATCCTAGAATGGGCATATTTAAAACTACAGAAATGTCAAAAATCAAT